ATCTATCTATCTATCTATCTATCTATCTATCTATCTATCTAACTAACCACGGCCTCCGGGTCAACCCAACCAGGTTTGGCTCTTAACCAGATACTGGGAATTCCCCCAGTAGCTCACAGACAATTTCGCATCTTTCGGGAGGCATTTGTTTTTTTATAGGCTATGCTTGATGGCTCAAATTGGCCAATGAGGAGCCAGCTTTTCAAACCCTGACAGATCCATCTATCATTACGTTTACATATCAGTCACAAGTAACGATTCAGCCCGTGAAAGTAAAAGTAAAAGTATTAAATTAATCAAAAATATGTAGTGGAGTATCACTGGTTCTGCTCCAGGTTTCGGCCCCCTAAAGTCAGTTTTTCCTTCCCTGTGTCTCCTAGTGCTGCTCTTGGTGGGAGCTGCTCTGTTTGGAAAGCTGGGAGATAACTGTAGTTTTGAGTTAGCGCTTTATAAATAAAGTTTAATTTAATTGAATGAATGTTTTTTGGGTTCTCTGACAGCTGCGTGGCTCTTTACTCAGACGGATGCGAGGCCTCCCGGCTCCCGTACCGTGGAGGGGTCCTCCACCAGCGTCATGTCGTATCCGCTGAGCGACACCACGAACAGAACCGCCCGAACGTCCTCGAAACACCCGATCCACTTCCTCCGCTCCGTCCTCTGGCCCCCGACGTCGTACATCCTGTGGAAACATTTAACCAGGAAGTACATCAAACAAAACCCTTTTCTGGATTTAGTTTCGCCATCTGTGAGCTGTGAAAATACAGCAAACACTCAAACTTTATAGGATCAACACCATTCCTTTTCACAGATTCAACACAAACCGGACTTATTTTAAGTGTTTTTTTTTTGTTAAATAGTTAAATAGTTTTTTTTTATTTCCGTTCACCCTGAACTTGTTTTGGTCCCATCAGCTGAGGGGAAACTGGCTCTTTAGCTCCAGGCTGGCAAAGGCCTTCAAAACAAAAGCTGAGCAGTTTCTATTTTTCTTCTAATCGTCACATAAGTCTCATTGGTTAACATTTGTTAACATTTTTTGTTTATTCCACAATTATCTATACCTCACATGCAGCCCCTTAATGTTAATAAGAAACATTACCAAAAAAATCTCTTTAACAAACCCAAATTTGAACAAACTGGATGTGCTGGATGTGAGGAAACATGAAAAAGAAGCATCGAGGAACTGCATTCATTTGGTCCTAAGTGTATTTTTCGAGCAGGTAAAGAGGATGAAACAGAGTCAAACCAGAGAAAAATAAACAAAAAGGCAGATAAAGTGAAGACGGATGGGTTCAGATAGAGGCACGTGTGGAGGAATGACCAGACCCTCGTCGTTATAGTGGACTCAGGTGCCTCAAATCTAGCCGACAGACACTCAATCAGAAACCTGAGAGAAACAGACTCCCCCCAAATTTACTTCTGCCTTATTTCACCGATAAAAAAAGAGAAATCTGATATTTATCTCAGTCTGCCTGACATGTCCCTGATTCGATTTCCCGGAGGAGCTGAACCTGATCAGTGTCGGGTAAAAGGTCAGAAACGGCGCCTTGCTACCCTTTTCAGTTCTCGCCGAGGCAATCGCAGCTTTTTCTGCAGAGCGGCGG